GTAAGAATAAAGTCAAAAATTTTAATTATGAAGAAGCAAAAAATGCCCAACCGGAAGAACAAAAAGAAGAAAGAATCCAAAAATATCCAGATAGTGTAAGGAGCCTCTGGGACAGCTTCAAGCGTACCAACATCAGAATTATAGGGGTGCCAGAAGATGAGAGAGAGCAAGATATTGAAAACCTATTTGAAGTAATAATGACAGAAAACTTCCCCTACCTGGTGAAAGAAATAGACTTACAAGTCCAGGATGCTCAGAGAACCCCAAACAAAAGGAATCCAAAGAGGATCACCCCAAGACACATCATAATTAAAATGCCAAGAGCAAAAGACAAGAGAGAATCTTAAAAGCAGCAAGAGAAAGAAAGTCAGTTACCTACAAAGGAGTACCCATACGACTGTCAGCTGATTTCTCAACAGAAACTTTGCAGGCCAGAAGGGAGTAGCAAGAAATATTCAAAGTGATGAATGCCAAGAACCTACAACCAAGATTACTTTATCCAGCAAAGCTATCATTCAGAACTGAAGGTCAGATAAAGAGCTTCACAGATAAGAAAAAGCTAAAGGAGTTCATCACCACCAAACCAGTATTATATGAAATGCTGAAAGGTATCCTTTAAGAAGAGGAAGAAAAAGAAAAAGGTAAAGATAAAAATTACGAACAACAAATACACAAGTGAATCTAAAAATCAAGTGAATAAATAATTTGATGAACAGAATAAGCTGGTGAATATAATAGAATCAGGGGCATAGAAAGAAGTGGACTGACAATTCTCGGGGGGAAAGGGGTGTGGGGGTGTGGGAAGAGACTGGACAAAAATCATGCACTTATGGATGAGGACCGTTGGGGGTGGGGCGGTAAGGGCAGAGGGTGGGGTGGGAACCGGGTGGAGGGGAGCTATGGGGGGAAAAAGAGGAACAACTGTAATAATCTGAATAAATATTTAATTAAAAAATACCCAGAAACTATAATTCTTCCTTAATACAATAATAACTTTAAAAGGAAAAGATTTTTCATAATTAGCTCAATAAATGCAGACAAAACATTTGATAAAATTCAACAGAAACACATGATTTAAAGCTTCAGTAAATTAAGAATGGAAGGGAACTTCCATACCCTGATAAGGAGTATTTAAAAAACCTTACAAAAAGTGAGAGAATGATGAACAGACTCCAGAATGGGCAAATGGAAGATGAGATAGGAAAGAAGCACATGAATATAGGTAAGTGATCGTTAAGGTCCTAATTTTTATCTGATTCTATTACTAAGACCAACTGAACAAACAAGCATGCATGGGCCAGTGATAGACTAAACCAGGGGGTCTCAACATGTGGTTCCTGCATCAGCATCTCCTGAACCTAGTAAATGCCAACACTCCAGCCCCACCGTGACCCACTGAATCAGCAACTTTGGGTGTGGGACCCAGCAAGGTGTTTTAATGAGCCCTCCAGGTGGTCCTAGTGCGTGATAAAGGTTGAGCAGCACTATCATATACCACAAGTTCTACCCCAAGTCTGTACACCTATCCTCCAGTTAACGAAATAGAAGGCTCAGCTGGTGGATGCTGTGTAGTTGGCTGACAGGGCTGACCATCAGACTTTCTCATTCCGTTATGTTTTAAACTAGATGAGAGAGGAGTTGAGCATGATTCCCTTTCTTCATAATGCCCTGGTAACACATCTTAAAGGGAGAAAATGGGGCCTATTATCCTATTAAAACCATCATTCTTAACACTAGACCTTAATGTAGTGTCAAATTTATGTAACTTCTTTTAGAGCGTAACATGGCTTCTGTAAATGGAAAGAACAACCTCCAAGAGGCTTTCCTACAAGTAATTTAAAATGAGCAGGGAGATGCACAGCACAGCACAGACCACCTCGAGAGAGAGAAGTAGAGAGAGGGGGTGGGATGAAGAGCTGTGTGTTGAGAACTACCAGACTTTGCAGCCCAAGACAAAGTGCAATGTTTGCAGCGAAGTATTTTCTGCAAAAGTCACCCTAGCAGCATCTTGTTTCCCAGATGAGGCTTATACCTTATGAACCTCTGCCAACTCATTCTCCAGCTTTGCCGCCCTCTTTAGAAAGCCAGCTTTGGTGGTTGTGACTTTAGGTTTTGGAGCTTTGATTCGGGGCTGTGTCACAAAATCTGGGAGACAGGACTCAAGTTCGACTAATCCTAAGGGAAGGAAGCACATCTTTTTAGTATCTGGGGCTTAAAGTTAGCATTTTGAAAGCATATTGTTAATTTTATCAGTTGCTTGCCAAGTGGTCTCATTTAGAATCATTGATAAGGTGTATCTCCTATAACTGAATCACCCCCAAAGTGTAAAGCAAATTTCTGTATAAATTTAAAAAAATGAGAAATGCATTCTAAAGCGAAAACATTGCCCTGAAAAAATAAATTCCACAATAATAACCAACAGAAAATTAATGATCATATGATACATGTCACCATTCTAAAGTGGATGCATACCAATTTATCATATTCTGCTCTGGAGATGATCAGCCAGAGCTACACATCCAATATTATGACCATCAGCTCATGATCTTGGCCACGTGATGCTTCAACTTGTCAACTGAAATTTAAGTAATTTAAATAAAGGCCTCTCCTGAATGGTATAGTAGAAATAATCCTCTCCATGAATTTATCCGCTGGTTTTCCATCCCCTTGCCTACTGGTTTTCTGGCATTTCTTTTTAAAAGACTGATTTCATTATATGTTTCTTTGCTTTTTAAACCTGATATAAAACTTTTTTCTATTTCATTTTTGCATAACTTTGATGATTAGTAACATTCCATGTGTTTTAATGTTTAGTAGCTAATTGACTTTACCCCTTGATAAACGGTTGTATAGTGTATCTATTTATTTATGTGGGTCTTAGTAGTTTTTATTAGTATGTATCAACTCATATTATTAATAATATTAAATATATTAATTACTTTTTCTTGCAAGTATTTTTATTTGTTGTTTAGCTTTTAATCTAAGTTATGTTTTATATATTTAACTTATATTTCTTTTTTCCCACCACTACTGAACTATGCAATCTTATATTCATTTAGCTAATCTGACGGTGGTGTATGTTGCTGCCAATTGAGAATCACAATAGATAATCCTAATCACTAGTATAAAAGATTTAAAGTACTGCTCATATCAAGGCATAGGAAGACCCTCCTCTTCAGGAGGTATATATATATATATACATAAATTATGTATTTAATTTATACTGAACTTGTAATTATGTAAATTGTTTACCTTCATAGGTGTCAAGATAGTGATTTTTTACTGCAATGTCCTCATCATTGTCTGGGAAACGACCAAGGCGAGACAGAGGTCCATAGACCTGTGATGCATAATCAGAATAGTCCTTGATGATATTTCTTCTCTCGAACTTCTCTTCTACATTCTTTCTCTTTCCCATAAGTTTTCTGATTGCTAAAACAAAACATACCTCCATGACTATCTCCAAAATATTGTTCTGAATGATCTAAATGCAGAATAGTAAACCAGTTCTAGTTTTATTCTCAGGGAAGCTACTGAACTGAATGAATTTCATGATGGCCACTCACTGCAGGGGGAAAGTCACACTGAAAACAGAAGTCTGTCATTTGTGACCCAGGCAGAAGCGATAGAGCTGAAAGAGAGAGAGAGAGGAGAGAGAGAGAAAAAACCATTAATGTGAAACAGACACATTGTTTGGTTGGCTCCTGCAACCAGGGCTGGGGAATGGGGGCTGAGGATTGAATCCACAACCCAGGTATGTGCCCTTGATCGGGAATCAAACCTGAGGCTCTTGGGTGGATGGGCTGATGCTCCAACCACTGGGAAACAACAGCCAGGGCTCTTTTATAAAAGCATTCCAAGCTCTGAGCCAAGAAGAGATAGTCAATAAACATTTGTTAAATAAATGAAAGAAATTCAAAGTAACTGAAAAAGACATGCTCAATGGAGACTAAGGTAATTAATTATTCTTTCCTAGGAAAATAATTAAAAAGGAGAGAAGACTGTAGATTTTTCAACAATCTCTGTCCATCTTGACTAATGCCAGAATAAATTAAAATATGTCAAATTCTGGAAACAATGTATGCTGACAACATCTAAATGCAGCTAGTGAAGTTAAAACCTATTTTCTCACATCAAGAAAAAATTAAAAGTTAAACTCACTAAAAATAATTTTTAAAGAATTAATTTTTGTAATTGCTTTACTTTTGCTAGAAAATGACAAGTTGGAATGATTTTTTAAATGTGATTATATTGCTATTATGTATATAAATTCTTAATTGGCATATATAATTGATGATATTTTTATAAGTAAATCAATTACTTAATATAGCTATAAAGTTAAGTATCATGGTAATTAATTTAAATTTTACTTTAAAATTTTTATTTAGTCATTCTTAATCTTCCATTGACTCCTCTTTTATGTATAAAGTACAGATATACTTGTAGTACATAAACAAATATACAGTATACCTGTGTATTAAAATGTCATGGGAGGGGTGAATAGGAAAAAAGATGTCTGAATGTCTATTTTAGGAAATGATGATGAATAAAAGGTTGAGAAACAGGACTCTGTCCAGGGAACATCTACACACACACACACCATCAATAGCTTAACTACTTGTCAGAACATCATTACTTGATTTTCTTAATAAGGAATTTTCCTCCACTCTTCTACTTTTGAGAAATAACTCATCTCCCATCTGCTACTTATTTAATAACACTAGGACCAAACCAGAATTATGTCATAGTTAAATCAGGTTTGATCAGAGACCCAAAGCAAAGCCAAAGTTTCCATTCTCTTCATTGTTCATACTACACCATTACCTGATACATGTGTACGACGAATTTTTGCCAATTTTGCCTCCTTTGCTTCCTGCAGGTTAGACCATTGGGCATTCAAGTGCTTCACAGTCATTTCATTGCTTTTCTTGAGACGTTTCCTCAGCAGCTCTTTTAGAATTTCCAGGCGAATCTCCTGCAATCTTCAAGCACATGACAAAACAAAGAAGCATACGGTACGGCAAACAGGTGTTCTACCAGAAAGGGAGCACCTGCCATCAACAGGGTCTCCTCTTTAGACTGGTATCATAGTCACATATTTTAAAAAGACCACCTTAGCAAAAGTGTGACAACTGGTGGTCTGGAGGTGACAGCTCAATGGTGAGTATATAATAGGAATATATACATATGGGTGCAGTTCTGAAGGACAAAGAAGTGTGCCAGATGGATGGGGCAAAATCAGGGTTCTTTCGGCAGATGGGCCTAAGTGAACAAGAAGTTCACGCACGGTTCAGGTCGACTGGCTGCTAGAGGGCTACGTGACGAGAGTGAAGAGAAAACGAGGGTGTGGCATGCTATCCTAAGTAGTTAATGTGAAAATGCCAGTGTCTGCACCTCCAGGTACTTGGTCAACCTTTGTTACCTTTACCTTGTTCTCCTGGAGTTACCTTGCTCGTGTGCACACAGCCACATACAAATGACTTTAAAATCCTTACCTCCAGCCCAGATCTTTCTGAGCCAGAATTTCTGTCAAATCTCTAGCTATTCCCTGACAACTTCAAAAACCCACTCATGTTGTTCCCCCAGAAATCTACCCATTCTCTTACATCATTTTCCCTCCTCTAGGGATCCCACCTCTAAAACGCTTCTTGCCTCCATTCCCTAGCTCGCATTCGTGCCATGTCTCCTAACTCCGACTCTTGTTGCCAGTTCAGTCTTTCCCCGTTCAATCCTTGTTTCACAGAGCTAGCAAGACTTTCCTTCCTATAATAGAGATTTAGACATTTCACTCCTGCTTCAAAATTATACAGTAATTTATCCAGTTATTCATTCGCCAAGTACTTATTAAGTGCTCACTATGTGCCAGGCAAACAACGATGAGCCAGACAAAGCACCTTCTCAGAACAAGCACTTTCTAGAGGAGTGGGCATATAAACCAGCATTTACCACACAAGGAGATAAACCCCAGGCCCGAAGAATGAAGAGATTTCTGTGGGAGAAGAGACATAGCACCATGTCTAGCTATTCCCGGTTGGTGGGGGGAGGAGGCGGTGGGCAAGGCTTCCTTAGAGGACTTCCTTAACTCTGCAGTCTGGAGGACAGGCAAGGACTGAGCTCTGCCACACTGACAAGGGAAAGGTGAGGCCTCCGCAGAGGGAGCTAAAGGTCTGACTCAGAAGGACTCAAGACAGAGCTAACGTATCATAGATGGGGCTTCTCACAGTGAATATGGAGGTGAGGGTGGGGAAGCAGGGACAAGTCAATATGGAGGGAGATTTTTAAAAGTAAGCCACACACCAATGGTCACCTTTCATCTAGAGTTAGAAATCCTAGGTTCAAGTCTCAACTTCATCACTTGCCTCAATGTCTTCAGTCACAAAATGGACAAAATAATGGTATCTATCCCATTAGGCTGTTGTGAGCATTAAATGAGTTACAGTATACAACGTGCTGGGACAGCAGTTCTCAAACTTGAACATGCATCTGATAATCTGGAGGGCTTGCTCTGGCACAGACTGCTGCTCCCCACCCTGATTCAGTGTGTGGGGGATGGAGCTGAGAATCTGTATTTTAACAAGTTTCCAGATCATGCTGATGCTGCTGATCTATGGACCACATGTTCAGAATTATTGACTTGGAACTTGGTTCCAGCACATAATAAGCACTCTATAAGTGAGCCATGCTTTGTGAAATCGTCATCATCATCATCATCATCGCTGATATTGCTGTCCACCTGATGGCTACTTACTCATCCTTCAACACCCAGCTCAGGGGCTACCTCCTCTCCGTAGTTTCCCCCAATCTCCACCCACCTCAGACAGAACTGATGGTTCTCTCGCCTGGGTCCCGCTGGCACTGTGTATAGAGAGGAGCACATCACCTGATGGGCCCTGCTGGAGAGTTGTTGGTCTGAAGGTCTTTTGCTCCATCTTTGACCACCACCCCTCCCCACTCCAGTGGACCATGAGGAACGCTGCCAGGGCATAGCAATTTCTTATTATTCCTGTTTCCCTAGCTCACAGCACAGAGCCTGGCACATAGGAAAGGTGCAAAACATGTTTATTAAAATTACCCAAAGTTTAACGAAAGTACTCTCTTAGGTGATGTCTTCATTCTAGCCAGATATATTTTTAATATTTTTAATGTCCTTCTGACAAGGATATAGCTCTCCAGCCCAGCTGGTGTGGCAAAAATGGTTGAGTGTTGACCTATGAACAAAAGGTCATGATTTGATTCACAGTAAGGGCACATGTCCAGGCAGGGTGCATGCAGGAAGCAGCCAATCAATGATTCTCTCTCATCATTGATGTTTCTATCTTTCTCTCCTCCATTCCTCTCTGAAATCAATAAAAGTATATATTTTAAAAAATAATATAGCTCTCCAAATTGCAGCAATAAATTTACATTTCTGCATACAGAATTGGGTATTTACTACCTATTTTGCTCCAAATGCTATTTTCTATTAAATTGCAAGTTTTTAACAAAACATCACATTGTCCTGCTTCAGGGTGAATCAGAAGGTGCAAAAAGATAAACATATTTTGAATTCAGAACCACACTAAGTTTCAGAGTCTCTTGGTCCCTAACTCTCTTATATGTGAGCATGCTGTCCAGGGCTTTGGGAGCATTGCTAGAAGTAATAAAGTACCTCATTACAGCCTGAAAAAAGAACAATCTTGGTGGAGGTTCCCCCCCCCCTTTTTTTTTCTTCCTAAGGAGTTGTTATTCTACATATTCTAGGGACAACCTCATTAACTGAAAATATATCAGTTAAAATGATTGAAAACTTAACCATATTACCTCAGTATATTGTCACTTATATGCTGTGAGCTCATCTCTTAATTGAAGAATTTCACAATTTGGCTTTTACATAGAAAATGCCCCATTAGCTCTCTCTGGAACCCATGGAGTTCTGCCTGTGAATCCGGTACTAGGGGGATAAGAAACAGGATCAGCTAGGAGGCTGTTTGATGGATAGGAGGAGGGCCAAGGCCTAGGGGAGTGGCACAGGAATGAACTGAAAGGGACAGTTTAAAAGACATTATGCAAAAATCAGTGGGGTTCTGTGATAGCCTAGATTAGAGACTAAAGAGAAAAGGGAAGAGGAGAAGCAGAGGTGCCTTGAGGAATTGCTCCGAGCTGGTTGCACACACAGAGGCCACTGTACCTTTTTATATCAATGGAGAGAAAACTGTAGAGCTATTGTTCCTGGAAGAACCAGAAACCCAATTTCCTATCTACATAGGTTGAGGATTACTTTTAAACCTAACACATTTGGAAAAATGCTTTATAGATAAAAAGTGTTAACATTACTCCCATCAGCGTAAGAGCCATCGTCTGGGGGATCAAGAACCTACTTTTGAATCTCCTGCTCTCGGAAGGCCCACTCCTTCCTCTCCATCTCATTCATCATCTTCCTCCTCTTCTCAAAGTGGGAGATGTCAGTCAGAGGCGGGAGAGTGGCTTCCCAGGCACGCTTCTCCCTGGCACGTTCTATCATCTCCACCTCAGCTTGTCCTGCCGGGAGACCTCGACCTGGAGGTGAAGCAAAAACACTTTAGAAACACATGGACAAATTCATGTACCTGCCAGTATTTCATTTACTCCCTTTCAGCTCCTGTCCTCTCCACATTTAAGGTTACATTGGGATGTAATATTAGGGAACACCTTCAACCTTCTGTCCCTTTAAATACAGTTCCTTATGTTATGACCCAACCATAAAATTATTTTCGTTGCTACTTCATAACTGTAATGTTGCTACTGTTATGAATAATAATGTAAATATCTGATATGCAGGATGGTCTTAGGCGACCCCTGTGAAAGGGTCATTCAACCACCAAAGGGGTCGCGACCCACAGGTTGAGAACCGCTGCTCTAGATGTACCTCCCAGCTGTGTCCTGCACTGCTTCTTGTTAAGAAGTCAGCCAGAAGCCGAAACCGGTTTGGCTCAGTGGATAGAGCGTCGGCTTGTGGACTGAAAGGTCCCAGGTTCGATTCCGGTCAAGGGCATGTACCTGGGTTGCGGGCACATCCCCAGTGGTGGGTGTGCAGGAGGCAGCTGATTGATGTTTCTAACTCTATCTCTCTCTGTCTCTCTCCCTTCCTCTCTGTAAAAAATCAATAAAATATATTTAAAAAAAAATAAGTCAGCCAGAAGAAATTTTAGGTGCATATAAGATGCCGGAAAATATTTGAAAAATATTATGTGGCTACTGAACAATCACATCTTGATATGCCCTGCATTAGACAAATCTATTTTTTTTAAATACAAAGAAATATCAAAGTAATTTACAAAAAGTCACAATTTATATGTTTCTCCATAAATGCTTTGCACCTGTTTTTGTTTTTATTTTTTAAAGTATTTGCATTTTTTTATTGTCTCCGATTTTATATATGTCTCCTTTTTCCCCAATTGACACCCTCCCAGTCATTCCCACCCTGGGCAAGCCCCCCACCCCCCAGTGTCTGTGTCCATTGGTTATGCTAATACGCATGCATACAAGTCCTTTGGTTGCTCTCTAACCTCCCCCCCTCCCATGCCATTTGTCTCTGGATCTATTCTTGTTCATCAAATTATGTTGATCATTATATCCCACATATGAGTGAGAGCATGTGATATTTATCTTTCTCCAACTGGCTTATTTTTATTTTTTTAAGAATTTGCACTTTTTAAAAACATAATTTTAATGATTCAGAGAGGAAGGGAGAGGGAGAGAGAAAGAGAGACAGAAACTTCAATGGCGAGAGAGAATTATTGATTGGCTGCCTCCTGCACGCCCCCTACTGGGGATCTAGCCCGCAACCTGGACATGTGCCCTTGACCAGAATCAAACCCAGGACCCTTCAGTCCGAGGGACGATGCTCTATCCATTGAGCCAAACCGGCTAGGGCTGCACCTATATTATTAAGTGATTTCTTAGGTATTTTGTTATTTGTTGCTATTAAAAATATTATTTTTTCAATATTTCTAATTAGTTATTGTTAACATATAGGAAGGCTACTGAAGTTTGTATGTTGATTTCATAATCAACTACCCTGTTGACCTCAAGTTCTTAATTCTAAAAATTTGTTATTTCATTTGATCTTTTTAAATGAGCACATCATCTGCAGATAAAGGTAGTTTTGCTTCTTTGTAATACTCATATCTCACTTCTTTTCTTTTCTCTTACTGCACTGACTCAGTATTTTTCAACCAAGGTACTATGGCTGCCACATTGGATAATCATTTGTTGCACGGGACTGCCCTATACAGGACAGGATGTTTAGTATTATTACAACCTCCCACCCAACTACATCCATGTGCTACATGCCAGGAGCACTTGTTAATCATTATCACATACAAAAATGCCACCATATTTCCAAATGTCCCTGTGGGCAATGGGTTATAACTCAATAAGCCCTGGGCGAGGATGTTCTCTGCATTGCTAAGTAACTATGGTGATGAAGGGGTCACTGCCTTTTCCTCACATTAAGGTAAAGCTTCCAAAGTTTCACCTTTACTATCATATTTATTGAAGCCTATGCTAGACACCTTTTATTATATTACTTTTTCTTCTGATTCCAGTTTATTTCGACTTTATATCATAAATGAGCGTTGAATGTTATCAAACACTTTTTTTATACCTATTGAAGCATTTTCCCAACATTTTCTGTTAAAATGATAAATTACATTGGTTTTCTGATATGTATTAAACTTGAATTTATGTGATTAACCAACTTGTTTATGACAAGTCATCTTTTAAAATACTGCAAGATTTGATTGATGGTATTTCATTTAGAATTTTTGCATTTTCTTCATGAGACAGCCCTGTAGTTTTCCTTTTTAGTATTATCCTTATTCACTTTTCAAATGAAGGCTACACTAGCTTCATAAAATGAATAAATTAACTTTATCCTCTCTTTCTATTTGCTGGAAAATTTGCATAAAATAGAGCTTATTTATTCCTTAAAGGGGTGGTAAACATATCTGAAAAACTATTTAGGCCTAGTACTCTTAAAAGAAATTTTTTACCAAGTCATTTTCTATAGTTATTCTATTCATGTTTGCTATTTCTTCTTGAAACCAACTTAGTAATTTATATTTTCTTTAAAAATTGTGTAATTTATCTACTTTTAAAATATAGGGCAAAAGATATGCATAGTATTTTCTTAAAGTTCTTAAGTCATTTACTCTGTGGTTATGTCCCTTGCTGATCCTAATACACTTTTTTTTTTGTATCTCTGTCTTTTGTCTTGCTATTTCCAACAAGAAGTTTGGCTATATTATTAATCTTTATCCAAAAAATTACTTTATGGTCCTCATGACCACTTCTTTTGCCTTTTTAAGATCTATAGTATTAATTTCTGATTTAAGTTATATTTCACTTAACTTGTGAAGATTAAATAAATTAAAAATGTAAAGCACTTGCAAATATTTTCTCCCATCTGTGGCTTGCCTTTTCACTCTCTTAAATGTGGGGGCTTTTTGGTGAAAAGAAGTTCTTAGTTCTAATGTGATCTAATTTATCACTTTCCCCTTTATTGTTAGCATTTCATCTTTGTCTTAAGTCAGATGACATTTATCTGTGAGTTAATTTCTGGACTCTATTGTAACAATGATATATTTGTTTATCTTTGCAACTATGCCACAGTTTTTAGTTACTAAAGCTTTAAGTCTTTATATCTGGTATTGTATATTTGTTCTGTTTTCTCACATTTGCCTTGGCTACTTTTGACCCTTTCAGATTCCCATATTAATTTTAGAATCAGGTTATCAATTTACACACACACACACACACACACACACACACACACCTGTTGGTTTTTTTTATTGAGACTACATTGAAGTAGGAATCAGAATTAAAGTTCATTTTTTTGCACATAAATATGTAATTGTTTCACCACCATTTATTTGAAAAGACCTCCTTTCCTCCACTAAATCACAGTGGCATCTTTCTCAAATCAAATGACTACAAATACAGTGAGGGATCTGCCAGGTCAAAGGAGCCTAGAACCATTAATTACCTGCAATGCTACAGCCAAGTCTTCCACATTTCGTTTCTTAATATATAGTCAGATCCACATCAGTTTGGCCATGGCCTACCACACATAAACTCTTTTATGTGAAGCACATTAATCATCTTTCCTACCCAAATCGTCTAGTCCTTACTAATTTTTGACAGCTTAATCTGAAAGAGGCACATTAAAATCCACATGAGTAGGGAATTGTCTATTTCTTCTCATGATTTAACCAATTTTTGCTTTACATTTTGAGTTCACATATGTTACCTATAAGTTCATGAAAGATATATCTATACTAATAATAGCCTAGGACAAGTGGTCATCACACCCTCACATCGTCACAAGATGGCCGTCACAAGATGGCTGTGTGCACAGTGGAGGTGGGGCCCAGCGGCTGCTCCACGCAGTGAGGCCTGAGGGTCCTGTGGCTCTGCACGCCATGGAGGAGGCCGGTCCCAGCAGAGGAGGCGGGTCACAGCAGGGGAGGGCAGTTGGGGGCGATCAGGCCAGCAGGGGAGGGCAGTTGGGTGTGATCAGTCAGGCAGAAGCAGTTAGGAATCAGGCAGGCAGGCAGGCAGGTGAGCAGTTAGGAGCCAGCGGTCCTGGATTGTGAGAGGGATGTCCAACTACCGGTCCCAGATTGGAGAGGATGCAGGCTGGGCTGAGGGACAACCCTCACCCCCCGGGCATGAATTTCATGCACCGGGCCTCTAGTCCTTTTATAACTGTTACATGTACTTCATTTTTCCTTTTAATGTTTTCTGATTAACTTTGGTCTAATATTAACATTGCTACATGAACTTTCTTTGAGTTATCTATCAGTATATTTTTCACCTCTTTATTTTCAACATTTCAGTGCTACTTTATAGATAGCAAGCTGCTTTTGCTGGGTTTGTGTTAGTCCAACCCACTAATATTTTTAATAAGCAAGTTTAAGTCACTTTTATGTATTTTGATTACCAAAATATTTGAACACTTTTCTGATATCTTATTATGTATTTTCTATTGACTATGTTTTTCCTTTGCTTTTCCCCTTTTCTGCTCTCTGTTATTTCCTCTCTTCCCCACTACCATTTGTGAAACAATATATTGTTTCTTTTTTTTAGAGGTCACCCCTAAAGTTTTTAACTTAGAAATTTCCACTCATAGTTTTCTAATAAAGTCTAATGCTAATTAGTAGTCCTTTCAATGATTCCAGTTGGTTCTTTTAATGGCTCCCATTCTTGCTTTCATTGTTGCTATTTTCCCCTTCATCTCTTTGAGGATTTAAAAAGTACTTCCTAAGTCCTTTTCAACTTGCTTACTTTGCTCAATCAGTTATTCTTCCATTTTATTTATTTTTGGTGGATCATGCCTGGTGTCTGTGTTCCTTTAAATACTTTGTAATTCCTGGGTTGAGGTCATCAGCAGATTTCTCTCATGAGCACCCTGAACAGTGGCACACTTCAACCGCGGTGAGCCCAGGAGTGGGGCTCCGCCCTAGGGAACCATTTCTGAGCCCCTGCCTAGATCTCTTGCTTTGGAGGACCTGGCTCTTGTCCTACTCAGCTCAATGCTAAGCCCATAGCACACTGAGAGGTCACGTCCAAGCCTCAGGCAGAGTGCCTGGCTCAGTTCTGGCTGAAGTCTTAGATAGGCAGGCACTGGACTTCAGATCCTCCTCTAGGCAGGAGAAAATTTTCTGCCTTCTCTGTTTAGGCAGGTCACTATCTCCATGGCCCGGGAAGAGTCAGCCTCTCTGGTCCTCAGTTTCCTAGCTACAATCAAATGAGTTTGAAAGCTAATGTATAGCAATTCCTAAAGGCCCTTTCTCCTATTAATTTTTTATAGTTCCACATGATATAGGCTTAGGCTAGATTTTATTACACTCTAAGAGTGAATTTCTGGGCCTGAAAGGTATTAACATTTCAGAGATATCAAAAGAAATCATCCAAATCATCCAGTAAGGTATGTAAGAGAACTTCGATAAATTCCGAGGTATTTTGGAAAAGTAAGAAAACATTATAACATGTTGAAATATGCATTCAGTAGTATACATTCAAATTATATGTAAAGAAGGAAAATAGATTGCTCAGTGAAAAGGAGTTGACTCACCAGGATAAACAGTGAGTAGTCAGCAAAGCAACCACAAAATTAAACCGACTGACTTATTTCTGCATCCACCAATGGATAGATGCTTAGATTGCCTTGGCTATTATAAATAATGTTGCAGTGAACATAATGGGACAGATATCTTTACAGATAAGTGTTTTCATATTTTTCAGGTAAAACCCAAAAGAGGAATTGCTGGATCACACGGTATTTCTATTCTTAATTGTTTAAGGAACTTTCACATTATTTTCCTGTACTAACTTATATTCTCATCAACAACGTACAATGGTTCCCTTTTCATATGTGAAATACAAAACAAAGAGTAACTAACAAAACAAACAAAAACAAACTCATAGATTGTGGTTACCAGAGGAGAAAGGGGGTGAAGGGTGAGAGGGCAAAGTGAGTAAAGGGGGTTAAATAAATGGTAATGGAAGGAAACTAGACTTCTGTAATTAGACACAGATTTATAATCTTGTACACCTGAAAATTATATAATGTTAGTAACCAATGTTACCCCAATACATTTAACTTAAAAAAAATAAAGAGCATTGATTGGGGAATAAATTTAGCTGATATATAACATTAGCTTCAAGGATAAAGTACAACAAGCCTGCTTACAGTGAAAAGGGTATAGCTCTCTTTGAACAAAAATACTATCACACAAAGGTTCTTGCTGGGTGGTTTGATTGATTGGTGGCTCGATTTGGTGTTCGATTGTCCCATACACCAAAAGTTTGCAGGTTCAATTCTCAGTCAGGATGGCGCATATGGGAGGAAACTCATTGCTGTTTCTCTCTCACATCAATGTTTCTCTCTCTCTCCTGCTCCTCTCTAAACAAACAAACAAACAAACAAATAAAAATATCCTCAGGTGAGAATTAAATTTTTGTAAAGTATTAGAAAAAGAATGAATCTATAAAGTAGCTCTACTGAGCAAGACACTTTAAACTACAGTTGCTTCTATGTGCTCTGAATTTCCAGGAACTCAATAGCCAGCAAGGTTATCAGGACTATCATCTTCAAATATACAAGAGAATTACCAACTCACCCCAAGTCAGAGTAGCCAGGGTCAAGAGCTCAGGGATTGAATCCTGACATATTATATATTCTGGAGAATACGGATCTGTTTGAACTTCAGAATCACGATAATCCGTCTGAATGCCCACAGTATACTTTGAAGGGGTGGGTGGGCGCTTAGATGAACCAGGAGGAAAAGTATATGTCTCTTTTCTAAAAGGGAAAATTATTTTTAAAAAATTAAAACCCAATACAATTGCTTAGAATACTATACACTCAAGTAGAAATAAATCCTTTTCCCCTTAACATTGACAGGCCCAAAGTTACAAATTCAGTTTAACCAGGATTATGCCAAATAATCTTGAGAGAACTGACTTTCTTTTTTGCACCTCTTCCAAGAAACTAAAGGGGTAAAAAAAACCTAGATCTACCCACAAAATGCCTATATGTGTATCATTGGGCAGGGCTGTCGTATACAGAGCTGTAAAAGGTAGATTCTAGGAAGTCATACAATCACTTCTGAACCTACTCAGAATTGCTATTTATCTGGTTTCCTTCCTCTCTGCATTTAGTTACACACCAAATTTTAGCTTTTCCCATTCAGAAATACAAATACAGGAGCAAAAAAAGAGAATAAAAACTCATCCCTTGCACAAAAATTAATTACAGATAATTTAATGTATTTAATTTAAAAATAAGACTAATAAAGTTCTAATGGAAAATATAAGTGAAAATATCATTTGAAAAGCCAAAAACCATAAAAGAAAATGAACAAAAGAATTAAATTTAAGTTGAAACTTCTAAACCTCAAAACATAATAAACAAATTTGAAATGTGAGTGACACGCTTGGAAATGGGTTTTGCAACATATGATTAAAAAAATAAGCAGCCAATAGGGGTGCCAGAAGGAGAGGAAACTGAGCAAGGAATAGAAAACCTGTTTAAAGAAATAATAACAGAAAACTTCCCTGATATAGGGACGAAAAAACTCACACAAATCCAAGAAGCTCAGAGTCCCAAATAAAATAAACCCCAAAAGACCGACGCCAAGGCACATTATAATTAAATTGGCAAACACCAACGACAAAACAAGAATCTAAAAAGCGGCCAGAGAGAGACAGAAAGTTACCTACAAAGGATCTCCCATCAGACTAGCAACTGATTTCTCAACAGAAACACATCAGGGAAGAAGGGAATGGAACGAAATTATATGAAGTCATGCAAAGGAAGGGTCTGAATCCAAGAATACTGTACCCAGTGAGGCTATCAATCAAAATTGAGGGTCAAATCAGGAGCTTCACAGACAAAAACGGTCTACGGGAGTTTATTACAACCAAACCAGCAATGCAAGAAATGCTAAAGGGTCTGCTGTAAATAGAAAAAACAGGAAACAAAGAAGGAACGCAGCGGTAAAGAACAAAAATGGCGACTAACAAGTTTCTATCAATAATAACTTTAAATGTAAATGGATTAAATTCCCCAGTCAAAAGGCATAGGGTAAATGAGTGGTAAAGAAAACATGACCCAAATATCTGCTGTCTACAGG